GTGCTCTGTAGATAGCACAAGAAGGTAAACTTTGTAGGTTGGGAAAGAAAGTTGGTCAGAAATCTATGCAGGCAGCAAAGGTGGGGGTAGGGTGGATGGAGGGTCTCAGCGGCAACGACTAGCATCCGACAACGTGGGTGGGAGACAGGGGTTTGGGAATTCAGACCTGTAGCTTCACCACCGGTTCGAATTCAGGCCTAGGGCAATGATCTCGCTAGGTGTGGAGTCCGACTTAAATAACAATGCAGCATACCCACATTTGGCAAGGAGGGAGAGAGGGAAAACGGTCTTCTAGAAACGGAAGGGGACGAGCTCAGAACGGCTTGTCTCTTTCCAGCCAATAAAAACCTCTGGAGGCTGAACTAGATCAAGAACAAAACTCTCCAGCGAGGACATGGGGAATGTCTGCTCCGCGTAAAGTGCAGCAGACGCCGCCGGCCCGGAGGCCGCGCTCGCGGGCGACCGTGCGGCGACGCGCGGGGCGGGGGCGTGCGGGGAAGAGGGCGCACGGAGGCGCGGCGGCTTCCAGGAGATGGCGGCGGCTCCCGGGCACCTCCCCGGCGCCCAGAGGGCGAGAGCCGCGGCTGGCACCGCCTGGTAGCCGACTAGGCCGCCGCGCGCGGCCTCGAGGGCGGCGCCCGGTTTCCTGCGCGGCCCCAGCCCTCCGGCGAGAACCCCTCCCCCGCCCCGGCACTGACCTGTCCAGGGCCCGGCTGGGCCTGGCCGGGCGGGGCCTACGCAGCCCCTCGGCCCGGCGCCGCCTCGCGCGGGGGCCCGGGCGGGCCGCCTCCTCTCGGCCGGGAGCCTCCGAGCCGGGGCCCGGGGCTGCCGCGGCGCATCCGATCGCAGCGGCCTGGCCGGCCTCGACAAAGGGCGATGGGGACGCTGGCCCGGGCGGGGGCGCGAGGCCGGGCGGGGGCGCGGGCGGAGGCCGGGCTGCGTGCGCGGCAGGCGCTCGAGGGCTGCAGCGCCGCGGAGACAATGCGGCGCGTCCGGGACGGCTCCCGGGCCGCCTCCGCCGGGGCGGGGCGAGGGCGGGGCCGGGCCGGCGGCTGGGCGGAGCGGGCGACGGACGCGGGCCGCGCGCTTCCTTTGTGCGCCGGAGCCCCGCCCCGCGGGGGTGCGGGGCTCCGGCTCTCCAGGCAATCGCCGGCCGGAGCGGGGCTGGCCTCGCCCGCACCTTTTCCACCGGCGGGGTTCGGTGACTCCGGCCGCGCTAGCTGGAGGCTCCGAAGCTAGCCTCGTAATGATGACCTCCAGTAATTGAGGGTCAGTAAGTGTCAGGGCACCCTCTTGCTTGGTATGGCTCACAGTAGCCCTCTCAGTGGTCATTATCCTCCCCACTGGGAACAGAGGATCAGAGAGGTGAAAGTAATGACCGAAGGGACCCGTCCCACCTCCATAAAGAGCGTAATCCCTACCCGTTAGCTTTAATGTGAGGGTTAACTGACCTACAAATTGCCTGCAGTGCCTGGCGCTCAGTGGGAGCCCAATAAATGTTCGTCGTCTCCCCCACCCCCCCGCCCCGCCCAACACACAGATTTAACCTGAGTTGTTCTAACAGAACACCTTCATTCAGTAAACGCGCTGGGAGGTGTGGCGTACAAAGATGCCATGTTATGTGGCACAATTCTCTCCTCCAGGAGCCACTTTGCAGACCACTGGGAATTCCTATTCCTGACCTCTCAGCATCTCCCCATTACCTCTTTCTCCAGCATCTCCCCATTTCTTGCTCTTCTTAGCATTCATTCTCCGGTTTCCTCTCACTGTTTCCAAGGACCAGCTTCAACCTTTTGTGTTTCTAAGCCTTACCTTTATTAACTATTTCCCAAACGTTTAACTAACTGCCCCCTCCCTCTTTGGTATTTTCCAAGTTTTCAAATCCTCTTTTCGTTAATATTCACATTTCCTTTCCTCTCTGCCTCTGCATTTCTTACACTTATGATCTGTTTTATAAACAGGAATAGAATATTGGCGTTCTCTCCACTTCTCAACCTGCCTGCACTTGCAGCTACCCACTGCCCTGCCTGGAATGCTGGGTCCCCAGCTTTGCATGCCCATGTCCTGCCTAGCCTTGACTGTCAGACTCAAGCGGTTAGTCAACTTTTTCTGTAGGAGATCAGAGAAACCATCTTAGATTTTACAGGCCACATGATATTTGCCCCAGCTGCTAGAGTATGAAAGCAATGTGTCCATGAATGAACTTTACTCTTTGCACCAAAACTTGAATCTCATAGAATTTTCACCTATCCCAAAACAGGACTCTCTTGATCACTAAAATCATTATTATCTTGCAAGACGATAGATGTAGCCCTGGGGCTTTGTGCCACTTCCTACTAGAAATCTATTACGATAATCTCCACTTGACAATGACATTTCCTTTTCCTAACTTGAAAAGCACTTATTTAAGTTCCATCTATAACATTCATCACATTGTAGCTTTTCTTTAGTTTCCTGCATGCTTGCCCAGAAGACTTTAATCTCCTTGAAGGTAGGAACAGACCTTATTTCTCTCTATAATTAGCTCCCATCCCAGAGTGCTTTGCATAGATTGGCATTCAAAACATATACAGAACACATGGCCAGTTAAGTCTCCAGTGGCTAGCAATTATTTCCACTGCAAAGACACCTCTCAGAGATAGGACTTCAAGAGCAGGGTGTTTGCTATATGTTTACCACCTTGCCTAGACTGCAGAAAGATTTTTGATAGCTTTCTGGACAAGAAGGGAAATGGAAGGTGAATGACAGTTCACTTGGGTGAGGTTGGAAAATAGTACTTAAAGAAATAATGTTGAGGAAAACATACTATATAAGGTATGTGGTGGTGGGGGGTGCCAAATTGAGTAGAGGAGTTAGTACAATGAGTAACAGATATGGTAACAGACGTAAGAAATTCCTGTCTCACTCCTTATTGTCTCTGTGCCTTAGTTTTCTCATCTTTAAAATGATCATCCAAAAATTCCTACTTCAGATGGTTATTGTCAGGATTAAATGAGGAAATACATGTAAAACCTGACAAAGTTTGATGAATGTTAGCTATTAACCAGTTCTTTTTAGGCTGAAACCAGAGGCTAAATTCGTAAGATAATATTTAGCACATATAAGTAAGTATATTTTCATCAAAATATAAATTGTACAAGTTTGAGAATGAGGAGATGTAACAAGGTAGCAGTCCATGTAAAAGGAAATGTCCACACTAAAACTAAACCCAATCGTTTGGAATTAAGTTGACATAGTGCTCTGGGAACCCACAGCACCATTCCCATGGGATAGAAGAATTATGTAGGGTCATAGGTACAGAGATGTGTTGAGGGAGGAGGTGTGTTGAGGTATAGGAGCAGAAGTGGCTACATGAGGGGTCTCTTTCATAGCTGTGTGACCTGGACCCTCTCCAGACTTTTTGTTCCCTCTATGAATGACAGGGATACTACTTATCTATCAAGGGATTATGAGTAAGGATATAGAATAGTACTCCACACATAATAGTGTTCAACAAATTTTCAGTTCCTTCCAACCAGTCCCTGTGGATCTAGGAAACAGTCCTGCATATTAGCAGGCTTATAAACAGTAATGGCTTTTTATATTTTGAATTAATGTGATTAATTTGAAGGATCACACCTTAGGAGAATTAATGAAAAGGTAGAATGTATATAGACAAGCCTGGTCAAAATGATGGGAATGTAGCTCTTCATGTGCCACACTGAAAAAAAAATGAAGAAAGTTTCAGATCTTTAGCCTAGAAGGTGGCCGCCAGTCTGTCTGTCTCTGTCTCTGTCACTGTCTCCCCTCCCCCTCCTGTTCATGGGAAAGAGACGCTAGAGACAAGACAACTGTCTACAGAATATGTATGGAACAGACTCTGTTACAGGTCACAAGACAGAATCATGACCAGTGGTGGCCACATTGTAAAATAATAACAGGTTTCCTTAATTAGTAGAGCAACTTTCTGATGGCCAATTTCACAATGGACTGATCTGCTTTTCTTTGTCCTCTCTCTTGCAGTGCTGGGGATTGAACCCAGGGCCTCATACATGCCAGACAAGCAGTTTCCCACACCCCAGCCCCTAATGAGCCTTTTATCATTGTAATAATACAAAGACAAATGAATGACCTCCTTCCTATCTTTACATTTGTCTAGCCTTCTTTACCTGAATTCATTCCCCTTCCCTTAAAGGACCACATAACATTTTAGCTCTACCTTGACTCATTTCTCCTTCAATTTCCAAATTCCTTTCTCTTCCCTCACCCATCCCCAGTGGCAGCACACATTTCTATCATGACTGAAAAACTGCCTTCCTGAACTGTTGGTGGCCTGTGGCACAGAATGTCACTGAGATTTGGGCCAAGATTGCTGTGCAGACTGGCATGGATGGGAAGGGAAGCAAATGGATCACTGTAGAGAACGGAGGTACTGCTGTGACTCTCCCACCAGGGTGGAGTGGTCCAGCAGTCTGGAGAAACCTAAGCCATGGAGAAGTTCACTTGTATCTCACAGATAGACAGATGGGAGCTCACAGTTCCCTCAGAGATGCTTTCTGTGAGCTGAGCTAATTCTGAGTCCCCTTCTGGCTCCTCCGAGGCCTCTGAGATATGGAACTTTACTTTCCATATTTCCAATTTCAAGAACTCCCCCTCATAGTGAAGTCAAAAGCACCACAACTGGGTATTGGGGCTGCTCTCCACTTGGCACACACATTTGCATATATATTCTATTGCAATGCCATGTAGACTCAGAGAGCGGCTCAAGAAATTTCAGCTCTGCTTTCTCTACCCCTTTACTATTCTCTCTTCCATGTCCCCTTTCTTTAGCTTATTTCCTTCCTTCCCTACTTCCCTCCCTCCCTCCCTCCCTTTCTTCTTTCCTTCCTGCTTTCCGATACCCCACGCTTCCTTAATATCTTGGTGTATTTACCCTACTGAGTGAACTGTGTCAGGGGATGGAAAGGAAGCCAACTCCTCCCCTCCCCCCAAGGGCCCTGCTATGCTGCATAGCTTCATACCGTGAGCTGGGGACCGCTGAATGCTGGGGCTCTTGGGTACAGGCATGCCACCAGATATGGTAGTAACAATGGCTTGCTGGTGTGGGGATGGGCCTGACCGAGCCTCAGGTATACTCTTCTCCCCTGTTTCCGCTTCTTTCCAGTCATCAGGGCCAGACTGGTGGGGCTGCAAGGAACAGAACCGAGAGATTGGGCTTGTTATACATCGCTTCTGCATTCAAGGGCACTACCATAGTTTCTGTGGGATGTGGAAAGAAAGCAAGAACTTTATGATTCACTGGTCACTAAGTTAGGCAGAGCCCTATCCTGTCTCCCTTGGGATACCTGGTGATGACTTCAATGCTTATCCCACTGAGAAAGAAACACACCTAGATTGTGGATGCATGACTGCCTGAGTTGTGCCTCCCATTGCTCCCTGTCCATGGGGGTTAGCTTACTCACCACTGGTGAAGCAGGCTGTAGTTGTAAAATGACAGCTGAGGTGTGATGGAGCCTGCATTGAGAGGTATGGGACATGCCCTCAGGATGTCCATTCTGAGATCCAGCATCTGGTGTGGAAAGGTGGCATTGCTGACTGCTGCCAGGCTTGTGCAGATGGGTAGTGGGACACTGGAGTGGCAGGGTAGGTGTAGATGGGCCTAGTGGCATGGCATGGGCTTCTGAGCTGGGCTGTGGGGCCAGGCTTGGGGGAACTGAGGCAAGCTGGGGCTGGGCTTGGGGCACAGGTCGAGATGGTTGAGGCTGCAGCAGCTGCTGCTGTGGCTGCTGTGCCTGTGGCTGGATCACGAAGTGGGGCTGCAGGTGCTTTGCTGACGGCTGTGGGAGGAGCTGGTGTGGCTGCAGTTGGGCATAAGCTGCAGGGGGAAAACCCAGGTTAGAAGGCATAGGCACCTCATCTGCCATGTCCCTCCCACACCCAAATATAAGCCACTTCCCAAAGTCAGGTCTCCTTTTTTGTCTTCCAGCCTTCACCTGGGGCCTGGCAAGGTGAGTGCCAGGGCTCAGCACCCTTTCTCCTTCTCTCCTCCTATGCCAGATGTTGGGCTCTTCAGTCTGTCCCCTCAAAGCCCAAAATTCACCTACTCTAGGAAGGTTTGACCATTCCAGTTGTCCTGAGAAACACTGGATTCTAAGAATGCCATGTTCTCTTTCTCTCATTTTATTTACTGGCTGTTCTCCCTGCCTGCAAAAATCTGCACTTCCCCCAACTGCCCTTTCCCAGCTTTGCATGAACAGTCCTGATACATACTTTTGGCTCTGCTCAGGAGAGACCTCTTACAGGAAGAATCAATGGACACAGTAGTTCTCAATGCCAGCAAGAGGCAGATCATTGCTGGACTACTACTTGCAAAAAAAATGGGACCTGAGATCATTTATTTCACTTCTCTCAGCTTTCTAAAATCTAAAAACTGGAAATAATAACTTCTACTCAGAAAGTTGGTGTAAGGATGAAATTAAAAAGAAAAAAAAGCCACCTGAGAATAAAATGAGAAAAATGACAATGTCGTAGCTGGGGCACAGTCATGCTCTATCATTTCTAGCTTTTACTATAAATTATTTCAGTCTTGGTTTAGGTTCACAAGGGATCTTGGCTTACCTCTGTCAAAATGTTTCTTGTGGCAGGGTATGCTGTTTCCTACGTATCTTACCTTCCAGATCAGGAATCTCTTGTGGTTAGATTTCATATATCTTTACTTAGGGCTTAACCTAATGTCCAGTTCTGATCTGGAATTTCTTTGATCCCGTGTATTGCTACCTTTTCTTCCATTCTAACCAGGTTGACCTTTGAGGTAAGGCTTTTTACATATATTTTTTAGGAATCCCTTAAGAATCTATTCATGACTTGTATGTAGTCCTTACTACATACATGTCTAGTGATGTACAGGTCAGCTCAGGCTGAGGAAAGCTCAATGAAACCTGTCCTGTTCTGATGCCACCCTCTAAAGAGTCTACCACAGCTGGAGAGCCATGGCAAAAGGCAGTGGCATTAAAAAAAAACAACCACAGAGGCCCTAAGCTGGAAGTCATGGATTTTTTTTTTCTTTTACTACCAAAGAAGGATAAAAGCAATTCTGGGTCTCAAGCTAACTTTTTTTTCTTTTTTCTTTTTTTTTCAGCAACCTGAGTTATTTTTGTTGGGTCATTAATGTCTCACAATTTGGAAATTTATTTGTATGCCACACTATTGAACTGTCTCACTGCAATGATGATGTATCAGAGGACTTTGGAAAGCAGCAGATGAATTTGGAATGGTTATGGTCTTGGGGTTGCTGTATATACTACACCATTATCAATTTTATTCATTTTTAACATTGTTATAGAGATATGATTTCCATGCCATAAATCAACTCATTTTCAGTTCTGTTAATTTTCACCCAATTTAGCTTAATAGTGATAAATTATTATTATTTTATTTACTTTATTGTTGTTATTTTAAAGATGCCTGTGATGCCACAGGTACAAAGATTTTAAAGTAAGTTAGGAGAGGTACATTCTTTCTTAAAGTTTACATCTATTCACTGCAAGTTTCCAACTGTCTCATCACAGTCCAACACAAGATTCCAGTCAGGATCCAAACAGCAATGGAAAGAACAGGAAAAAAAAAAAAAACACTAGAAAGGAAAAGCAAAATGGTCCTTTGAGCTAACTGCTGTAATCAGAATAAAGAAGGCCTGTCGGGTTTTAGTTTGGATGACACTGAATGATAGAGCTGGGAAACTTGGTCTTTGATAGGGTCTTAAAGGGAATAGGTTGGGTTTAAGGTAATGGTAGGGTTTCCTTGGGAGTGGCCAGCAGGTATTGGTGACTATAAATGGACCCAGATGCCATTCTAAGCTCTATCTCCTAATTTCACATCAGATAGCTCAGAGCAGTCAATAAAGATTTGTTCATCAGGCAAACTTAAAATTAGACAATTTAAGACACCTGTTGATAAGGTATCTGAGAGATGTTATAGACATAATGCAGGACCTGTGAGGCTCCAGCTGCCAAGACAATATGTAAATGAGAGGCATCGTTACTGGAAATGCAGTGTCCAAGGACTGTCCATCTGTGCTGAGAGCTGAAGGTCATCTAGGAAGTTAAGAGGATCAATGGCCATGCCCTACTACCTGCTGACCATGTGGCTCAAGACAAAGTATTCTTCCTTCTCAGAGCTTCAGAGTGTTTTCAGCAGAATTAAGAAGTCTGGGCTGTATGATGTGTCTTAGCTATACAGCTGTATGATATTTTTCTATACTAGAAAAATAGCTCTAAACTCTAGGATTTAAAGTAGGAAAAAGAAGCCTACAGAGGAAAAAATGGTGTAAATCTATAGTGCATAAAGAACACAGTAAGGGCAAGGACGTAATAACAGACACTTGTAATTCCAGCATTTAGGAGGCTAAAGCAAGAGAATAGTGAATTTGAGGATAGCCTGGGCTGCATTTGAGATCCGGTCTCAAAATAAATTACAGTTAGTGGTAACACATATTTCTTTTACCAAATGCTAATAGTTTGGATCTTGAGTGTCCTCCAAAAGTTAATGTGTTGAAGGCTTCTCCTCCAGGGTGGAGTTTTGGAGAGATGGTGAAACTTTTAGGAGGTAGAACCTAGTGGGATGACTTCAGGTCCTTTTGTTTCCTGAACATGAGGTAAGCCATTTTCTTCTTGTTCTGCCAAGTGCTTCTACCATGATGTGCTGTTTCTCTAGAGCAACAAGGCCAACCTTTTGGTCCAGCGTTTTGAGCCCAAACGAACCCTTTTTTCCTGATAAGCTAATTTTCTCACTGATTTACTACAGTGAGGCAATGCAAATACACCAGAAAGATCTAAAAAGGAAACTACTGACCTCCTGGTCCTCTATTCCTGTACTTCTCCTTCTATCTCTTTCTATCCCCCAACCTGTGCTGCTCATGAAAAACTAGGGACAAATGAAACCACTATACATCCAAGCTGAAAATAAGGGTTTAAATAAGTTCTTGTGTTTGGGAGGAGTGGCCACCAACTTTTTTAGGTTAATAAAAAGTAAAAGCTATGGTTTAACTCCAGCATTATCCTGGATCAAAAATCCTTTTGTAGCCGGGTGCCGGTGGCTCACGTCTATAATCCTAACTACTCAGGAGGCTGAGATCTGAGGATCTCGGTTCAAAGCCAGCCTGGGCAGGAAAGTCTGTGAGACTCTTATCTCCAATAAACCACTCAAAAACTGGAAGTGGCGCTGTGGCTCAAGTGGTAGAGCACTCACCTTTAGCTGAAGAGCTCAGGGACAGCGTCCAAGCCCAGAGTTCAAGCCCCATGACCGACAAAAAAAAAAAAAAAAAAAATCCTTTTGTTCAAGTGCCAGCCCCTGAGTTCAAACTCCAGTACTACCAAAAGAAAAAAAGGCATCCATTTGTTTCACTTTTGAGTGTTACAACAACTTTCTAACTGGTCTTCCTGACCCAGTTCCTCCTGCTATAATCTATTCTATGAATACTGTGGAATGCTCTTCTTAGTGCACAGATCCAGTTGTCCAAAGCCTCTAATAGAAATTCAAAATTTCCTTAACTATAAATTAGTCTTCTAGTTTTTATGATTTCTTTAACCACATAGTCTTTACTGTCCTTTATACGGAGTTTCTGCTTTTTCACAGATGTCTATTAGAATGTCACAGATCAAGTCACCCTTGACTCAAGCTACCAGGACTCTTCCTTTCTGTCACTAAGGTATCTCTGCTTTCCATGGCCCTCAGAAAAGCAGTGTACCCAGCAGTCAGTGAGAGCTCCAGAGTGAAATGCTTGGATTTGAATCCTAACTCTGCTGCTTACCAGTTGTATGAAACTAAGTAAGTTACTTAATCTCTTTATACCCCATTGTTATCATCTTTAAAATGGGGATGAGGATGTCACTTATCTCTTAGTTATTTTAGTAAATGATGCATCTCTTTTTAGTAGGCACATTTTATGTGATTTATTTGCATCCTTCAGAGTACCTTAGAGTTATGCTCAAATAAGCATTGTTGAATGACAGCATGGTGGAACTCTTATTTATAGGATGTCCATGGGTGATGGGTGTAATTCTCAGATCACTCTGGTTCTATGCTCCATCCTTCCTGTTCTAAGCTTCCGTCACCCTAGTGGATCAGTCTACTCATTACCTCATAAAACTGAATGTCACTTTGTGCCTTTTGGGTTTTGGTTTCATTGCTTCCACTTGGCTCAATGTTTTCTTCTGCTTCAGTGACCCTAGTTTAAGGGTCATTGGGCAGACCACGTTCCTCAGGGCCAAGCTTAATCCTTAGCTTTGGGTGTTTCCCTAGAGTTCCTGTTGTCTCATCTGTTTCATTTGTGTTATAGCATTGCTCCATTAGAAACATTTCATTTATTAATCGATTCTTAAACAGTGGCTACTATCTATACCCCTGCTTTAGCATCTTTGGAATTGAGTTGCATGTTATAGATGATGCCAGCTTGATGAGCAGTGCCTTTTCTTTGACGTAATAAAGTAATGATATAGTTGGGCTGGGCACCAATGGATACGCAGGAGGCTGAGACCTGGAAGGTCATGGTTCAAAGCCAGCCCAAACAGAAAAGTCCACAAGATAGCCTCTCCAGTTAATCAGTAAAAAGTAACTCAAAGCACTAACTATGAGCAAGAAAGCTGAGCAAGAGCATGAGGCACAGAACTTCAACACTGGTACTGGCAAGAAAAAATGATGGCACACCTTACAGTTAGAAATGTTTTAAATGAAATAAAAACATTTATATATATATATAGATATATATATATATAGATATATATATGTTGTACTGAGTTTGAACTCAGGACTTCGTGTTCTCTCTCTGTTTATAAAACTCTGCTTTTTTTTGTTCATAGTTGGTGTTCTACCACTTGA